AAGAATGGCCAGACTTCATCTCACCTATTTTGGTCATGTTGTAAGAAGGGACCATTCCCTGGAGAAGGATGTCATGCTTGGTAGGGTGGAGGGTCGACAAAAGAGGGGGAGGCCTTCAACGAGATGGATTGACACGGTGGCTGCGATGATAGGGTCAAGTATAGCAGGGATTGTGGGGCTGGCACAGGATCTGGCAGTGTTTCGTTCTGCTGTGCATGGGGTCTCTATGAGTTGGAAACGATTCGACGGCACATAACAACAACAACAACAACAACACCTTTGATACTCATCTCTATTCTGATATGGGTTATTTAAGAGTAATGCTTTGTCATCTCTTTCCCCAAGTAGGGCAGCCTTTATCAGAGTTGTAAAATAGAGTAGACTGGGTGGAAGAATTTTTTGGGGACAGGGCATATGGGAGTGTAAGATACGGTTGTTGTTAGGTGTCAAAGTGTTGGCTCCAAATCATAGCAACCCTATGTACAACAGAACAAAACACTGCCCAGTCCTGCACCATCCTCACAATCCTTGCTATGATTGAGTCCATCATTGGAGCTGTGGTAAGATATGGTAGTGGGTCACATTATAGTAGACAGCCTGGTTCTTTCCCTCATCACTGTCATCGCCCTCATCCAGGAGGGCTTTTCTTCATCCCTTGGCCTGGCAGACACTTGTCATGCTGATGGTATTTGCTTATGTGATTGTCTTCCCTACTATCTTCTGAACTATTTGAGAGCAGTGATAGCATTTAAGTCATCTTTGTGATGGTGTAGTTGTTGGCTGCTGGAGAGTCGATTCCAACTCATGGTGATGCCAGGTGTAATAATGATAGTTAATTTTGTATGTTGACTTTGCTAGGCCATGGTTCCCAGTGTATTGGCCAAATATTTGTCTAGTTGCTGTTCCCTAATGCAATGTAATGATATAATTACTTTCCATAATGTGATCTAATGTAATGTAGTCAAGCAGTTGAAAAGGGAGTTTCCTTAGGGTATGTTCTGCCTGCAGACAATAAATAGCTATTTTGGCTGAATTTGCTCTCACTCTTCACCCTTTCTGTCACCTGACCTAAGTGTCTTGGGATGCAAGCCTGCAGGAGTCTCCAGCCTGCTGCCTGACTTAAAACATTTGACTTACCAGCCCCCATAAACCAATCCCTTAAAGTAAAGCTCTCTCTTTCTCTTTCTATGCACACACACACACACACACACACACACTACCGGTTCTGTTTCTCTAGGGAACTCTGAGACAGTAACCTAAGTGCCAAGCACATTAAGTACACTCTGGAGCTCCATAATGTTTGATAAATGAATGAATGGTTTAGGTTTTCATTTCCTAACTGCTTCTCTCTCCACAGCCTCTCTGCTCTCACCTATAGACTTCCTGCCACCATCTAATTAATTTGCCTTAAATGATCTGTTGAAAAGCCTGCTCAAATATCTTCAGTGACTCCCTGTTGGAGTCTAAACTCCACTGGATGCCTTTGTCAGTCCATCCCTTCCTTTATGTTGCATTTTTGTTCCTCACACTCCAGCATACAACTTATGTTTTAAAAAATCTTTTAGGTCTGTGAAAAAAACTTTGCTTTTAATATTTGTCTCTGCTGCCCTACATTCTTTTACCAAAGGCAAAGAATTTCTAAGACAAAAAAGATACTTCTAGCCCTCTCTACTTGTGTGTAGATTGTCTGTGTGGGAATGCTCTCACCTCCTATGTAGTCAAATCCGGCCTATCCTTCAGGTTCCTGAAGCCTCCCAGGATATCTCAGGCCACCCGGGGGGCTTCTACTTCCTATGCCTTCTCCATTTCTCTCTATCTGCATACCACCTTTAAGCAGGAATGCCCTTAACTGGCCATTTCATCCTTTCACTTTGGCATGGCTTATTTTGGTAACAAATCTATGGCTTAGAGGTCAGGACCCAATTCTTTCTTTTCTTTTCCCATAATGAGGGGTTCAGGAATGGGTTCTAAACCTCTTGATGGATTTAATTTCAACCCTATGCACCCTGGATCAGATGATGTCCCCTGAAATAAAACTCCCTACCCTTAATATCTGACAGACACAAGATGACTGCCCTAGAAGTCTGCCTTTTCTTTTCTCTGACAACTACATCATGAAGAATTTCTACTATACAAGTAATCTAGGCTTAGAGAATTTATTATATTGATGCATTAATTTTATTATGCTAGTAGAAGATGGTAGAATAAAGAATCCAAGCGTGATGTATCAGGTGTAAACAGGATAAATGAAACCAATTAATTGATAGTGCTGTACTAAAAATATATGAAATAATCAGAGGCTGGCATATGTGAGATCTTGAAATGTTATTTGCCCTTCTAGCAAAAAGAGCACTGGTGGTGCAATGGTTAAGTTCTTGATTGCTAACTGACAGGACAAAGGTTCAAACCCACTGGTGGCTCCATGTGAGAAAAGACCTGATGCTCTGCTCCTATAAAGATTATAGACTAGCAAGCCCTCTCAGGCAATAATACTCTGTCATATAGGGTCAATATGCATCATAATCGACTACGGTTTACAACAACAAAAGTAAATGGGAATAACCTCATAACATTTAGTAATTCGAGAAAGTATGGTAATAAATGACTTGCAAATTACAATGCAAATATGATTCTATTGCACTTATGAGTCACTCCAAATGTGCAAATGGTTACCACTTACCTCCATTCCACGGTATATATCTTGAAAATCAGAAAACAAAATGAAAATTGTGAGGCCCAAGGCAGATATCAGCAGAAATGAGAAGATATCTGAGGAAACACCAAACATTATTTTTAAATACTAAATGAATGTTTCATAAATTTGGCACACATTGCAAAATCAGTTATGTCTGTTGGGCAAATAATGATACATCTTCAGAAGTTTTTATATATCCTCATATGTTGTAAAATATGCTCTAGTGCTTATAAGATAAAGGTAGTATCTTAAAATCTTGCTTTGGAAAGCTCAATATAGAATTTTTAAATAAATTCATTATAATAACCTCCATGAGTTAACTCAACTGAGGATTCCTGGGGGCAGCGACATGCTACAGTGACCAGCCCTTCTAAATGGTCACCTGAAAGGTTTAGTAAAGTGACAGGATACAAAATCAACATATAAAAATCAGTTGGATTCCACTACACCAACTAAGAGAGCTCTGAAAAGGAAATAAAACAATAGCATTTACAATACCTACCAGCATGATAAAATATTTAGGAATAAATCTTACCAGGAACACAAAAAATCTATACAAAGAAAACTACAAAACATTACTACAGGAAACTGAAAGAGACCTACATAAATGGAAGACTATCCCATCCTCATGGATAGGAAGACTGAAGATTGTGAAATGGTAATACTACACAAAGCAATCTATAGATTCAATGCAATCCCAATCCAAATCCCATCAGCATTCTTTAAGGACATGGAAAAAAATCACTAATTTTATATGGAAAGGAAATAGAACATAGATAAGCAAAGCACTACCAAAGAAGAAAAACAAAGTACGAGGTCTCACACTTCTGGATCTCAAACCTACTATACAGCCACTGTTGTCAAAACAGGATGCCATTGGTACAATAGACCAGTGGAACAGAATTGAGAGTCCAGAAATAGGTCCATTCACCTATGAACAGCTGATCTTTTACAAAGGGCTGAAATCCATTCAATGAGGAAAATATACTCTCTTCAACAAATGGTGTTGGCTAAACTGGATATCTGCAGAAAAATGAAACAAGATCCATACCTTGTACCGCACACAAAAATGAATTCAAGATGGATCAAAGACCTAAACATAAAACCCAAAAACTATAAAGGTCATCAAAGATAAAATAGGGACAAACTTAGGGTCCCTAATGGGATAAATAAACTATAAAGCATAACTCAAAATTCACAAAGAGCAGAAGAGAAACTAGATGACTGGGAATTTCTAAAAATTAAATTATGTGTGTCAAAAGCCTTCTCCAAAAGAGTAAAAAGAGAACCTACAGATTGGGAAAAAAAAAATATTTGTCAAGGACTATCTAACAAGGACTATCTGCAATTTATAGAAAACTTCAAAATCTCAACATCAAAAAAACACACAATCCAATTAAAAAATTTACAAAGGCTATGAACAGATATTCAGATAGCCAACAACCACATGAAGAAATGCTCATGAATATTAGCCATTGTTGTTGTTGTTATGTGCCATCGAGTTGGACCCGACTCATAGCGACCCCTCCTTGGGTTTCTGAGGCAGTATCACTACAGAAGTAGATTGCCCCATCTTCCTTCCGAGTAGTGGCTGGTGGGTTTGAACCACCAGCCCTTTAGTTAGCAGTCAAGTGCCTTAGGCACTATGCTACCAGAGCTCCCCATTAGCCATTAGAGAGACTCAAATCAAAACAAAAATGGATATCATCTCACTCCAGCAATAATAGCAAAGTTCAACAGGACAGAAAACAACAAATGCTGACGAGAGTGGGGACAGATTTGAACTCTTGTACACTGCCAGTGGGACTGTAAAATGATACAACACAGTGGAAAACAGTATGGTGCTTCCTTTAAAAGTTTTTTTAAAAAATAAAAATACCATTTGATCCAGCAATTCTATTACTAGGAATATATCCTAAAGAGGTTAGACCCAGGACACAAATAGATAATGCACATGTATGTTCATCGCAGCACTATTTACAACAGCAAAGACACAGAAACAACCTAAGTGCCTATCAACAGATGAATGGATAACCAAACTATGATACCTGCACACAATGGAATGCTATACAACATTAACAAATAATGAAGAATCAGCGAATCACCTCATAAAATGGATGAAGTTGGAGGACATTATCCTGAGTGAAATAAGTCAATCACAAAAAGACAAATATTGTATGAGTCCATTAAGGACCTCTGGTGGTGCAGTGCCAAAGGCATCTACAGAAGTAGATTGCCCAATATTCCTTCCGAGGAGGGGCTGGTGGGTTTGAACCACCAGCCTCTGGTTAGCAGTCAAATGCCTTAGGCACTACACCACCAGAGCTCCCAGAATATAATACAGCTCTTCAATTGATATTCAAGACATCCCACAATCTGATCCTAATTGTCTTTTCACACAGATCCCTGACTGTTCTCCCTTATGTACAATAGTAAAGCTAAACCACAATACCTGCTTCTTCCACAAAGGCCCAACTTTTCCCAGCTTCTGTGCTTTTGTTCACATAATATTCCTTCTAGACAGTATTCTTCCTATCTGCCATAGCATGTTCCAATTTTTCTTAACTTGAAAAACAGAATTCAAATAACAGATTCTCTTTAAAGACTCCTTAATCCTTCCTTATAATTTTGTCTGATATATATCACACCCTACTTTGCATCATTTTTAATGTATGTATCAGCCAAACTATACCCACTTGAAAATGAGTTTATATCTAGTTCTCTGGGACTCCAAATTAAAGGAGTAAGTGAGCAGCTAGGATACCCATCTGCTGGGTTCTATATTTCCAACCTGCCCAAATCACTTTACTTAAGGGGGCTAAATTGCCAGGGATGCAATGTGCTAATAAACCAAAACCAAACTCATGGCCATAGAGTCAATTCTAACTCATAACAACCTCCTTTGGGTTTCCAAGGTGGTAAATCTTCACAGAATTAGATTGCCCAGTCTTACTTCCATGGAGTGGCTGGTGGTTTTGAATGACCAAACTTCTGGTTAGCAGTCAAATGCCTTAGGCACTACACCACCAGAACTCTCTGTGAAACAAAGCAGTAATACTTAATAAGGGTTGCTATCTAATATATACTTCTTACAATCCTCAAGAGTTATCAGAACAATAAACTAGGTTGTCTCTTATACTCTCTCTATCTCATTTAGTCCAATGTTAATGGTCTTCTGACATCCCAGTTCTGTGTTGGTCTAAACCAACAAGAAATCTGAGGCAATTGTTCCTCTTTAGCAGGTTCTATTTTGGAAGCCAGCAGAGTTTTATTGTCAACCTCATGTTCATCCATGTATCATCTTATGCATACAACTAGAGGTATCAGGGAGTTCCTGGGTGGTACAAATGGTTAAAGCTCTCAACAGCTACTCAAAGTTTGGAAGTTTGGGTCCACCTAGAGGCACTCTGTGAGGAAGCAGAGGCAGGGATCCAGGAAAGGCCAGGGACCCAGGCCACAGCCATCCTAAGTGGTGGGAAAGCAGAGAAAAAGCCGGGGGTGGGGGGAGTGGGGACCAGGACAGAGTGAGGAAGCAGAGGCAAAGATCCAGGTAAGACAAGGGACCGAGGCCACGCTTCCTCCCAAGCTGCAGAAAAGAGGCAGAGATCTATGTAAGTGGAAGGTAGGGAGGGTAGAGAGGTTTTGAACAGCTAAGGGAGACAAACTTCTCTGTCAGTTTGTCCTACTGTGATGGCATGTTGCTGTGAGGCTTGAGGCTGTGCTGCCAGTGTCTCAAACCCAGTAGAGTACCCACGGTGCACAGGTTTCAACAGCTTACAGACTGAGACAGACTAGGAAGAAGGGGGAGGCCATCCATTTCTCAAAGAATTGTCCAGGGAAAATCTTATGAATAGCAGAGAAATACTGTCTGATACATTACTGGGCAAATTCATGAATAGCCTGGAAACATTGTCCCATAGAGTGCAGGATGATAAGCCACTTAGGTCAGAGGGCTTTCAAAATAGGACCAGGAAAGAGCTGCATCATCAGAGTAGAACCAGCCTTAATGATATGGATGAGGTAAAGCTTTCAAGACCATTTGCTGATGTGGCATAACTCAAATTGAGGAGAAAGAGCTGCAAACATTCATTAATAACTGGAACATGGAATGTATGAAGCATGAATCTAGGAAAATTGGAAGTTGTCAAAAATGAAATGGAGCACATAAAGATTGATATCCTGGGCATTAGGGAGCTGAAATGGACTGGTTTTGGACATTTTGAATCAGACCACCATGTGATCTATTATACCAGGAATGACAATTTGAAGAGGAATAGCGTGGCATTCATCATCACAAAGGATGTTTCAAGATCTATCCTGAAGTACAACGCTGTCAGTGATAGGATAATATCCATATGCCTACAAGGAAGACCAATTAATACAACTATTATTCTAATTTATGGACCAACTACCAAAACCAAAGATGAGGAAATTGAAGATTTTTAATCAGTTTCTGCAGTCTGAAATTGACCACACATGCAATCAGGATGTGTTAATTATCACTGGTGACAGGAATGCAAAAGTTGGAAACAAAGAAGAATCACTGGTAGTTAGAAAATTTGGCCTTGGTGACAGAAACGATGCTGGAAATTGCATGATAGAATTTTGCAAGACCAATGACTTATTCATTGCAAGTACCTTTTTTCAACAACACAAATGGTGGCTATACACATGGATTTTTCCAGATGGAATACACAGGAATCAGATTGACTACATCTGTTGTAAGAGGCAATGGAAAAGTTCAATATCTTCAGCCAAAACCAGGCCAGGAGCTGATTGTGGAACAGACCATCAACTGCTCATATGCAAGTTCAACTTGAAGTTGAAGAGAGTTAAAACTAGTCCACAAGAGCCAAAATATGATCATGAATATATCCCTCCCAAATTTAGAGACCATATAAAGAATAGATTTGATGTATTGAACACCAATGACCGAAAACTAGAAGAATTGTGGGATTACATCAAGAACATCATTCAGGAAGAAAGCAAGAGGTCACTAAAAAGATGAGAAGGGAAGAAAAGACCAAAATGGATGACAGAATAGAGTCTGAGCCTTGCCCTTGAGCAGACAGTA